GAAATTGGCTGTACATTTATCCACTAAACTGTACACAAATCACATTTAATGTACCTAAATCGATTTTTATATGTGACAATTATAGCGTAGTATCATATTGACGAAAATAATAATAACATTTTTTAAATTGATATAATATTGACATTAGAATAATAACGTTACAACTTATAATATTTTCCACTAAACTTCTTCAACATTATAACTTAATATAGAACATCTTTGTACTTTTTTTAAATGTGTGCGTATACAACAGTTATACAATATAAATTAATATACATTATACATACATATCAAATTGTATTATAAAAATTAGCCAATGTGTTTTGGCGAATATCTATAACCCAGATAGATCGTACTACCGGTTTGTAGTACATTTTTTCATTGATCGCGGCTTTATTAATTTCATTTTCACATTATGGTACACACAAAATGATTTATTGTCATAACCGCATGTTCTAGTTTTATTAGATAAGTCCCTAGTATCTCATGATACAGTATTTTTTGGTTAAATGGTCTTCAGATAAAACAGTATTTTAAAAATCTTGATTATGTTGAAAAATCAATCCATCGATCCTTTGGCGAGTTGCTGATGAAAACCACATTTTACTTTGCTCGAACAATCAAATGGTTTATGATGTATCGACGAATGGTCAATCAATTAATCGTACACATAGTAATATCATTATTAATATCTAGTGCAAAAACACTACAGATTCGTTTTCGACCTAGGTTAGTATCACGACAAAATATAGCAAGTACTAGAATATTGGTCCGTTTTCGTTTGGTCCAAAAAAATGTCTTACTGTTTAATATTATCGTAAAGAACCTTTACGTCGTCTCGAGGAAAGCTGTTAAATCCTGTTAAACCAAACGACTTGTGGTCGTATTTTGTATAAGATTCCTGTAAGCCCACAGTCACTCGCCATTAAACAAGGGAACTTCGGTTTTGTTTTGGAAGAACAGTGTCCGGCGAAGGGAACGAGCATGATTATTGGTATAAACAAACCTTTTTTTTCCACGTTAACACGGCGGAAGCACGCAGAATGCATACTTACAGTGTAGTGTAAATAGTATCTCGCAGGTAGGAGAAAGCACAAAACGTTGTGATTTTAACCCTCCACCACACCTTTTCCCGGATATAAACTATAAACCGCCTGACCAGCAGCTACGTGACTTGGTTCCAACATATTTTCCAAAGGGCGGAGGGAAAGCCTTTAAATATGGTCCATGCGCTAAAAGTGTTTGGACTTGCAAACCGTATGAGTATCGCTGGGGTTTTATATAATATTATAATATTATTATGCTTGAAACTGTTGAACTGTTTGAGCGGTATGATGCGCAACTCCGGGGATTTATGTTTACATAGTGATTGTTATATTATAGAAAACAGTTGTAAGTGATGTGACTATCGGCGCGGCGCGGCGGTTTAATAGCAAACCAACACATTCATAATCACCAGCAGACTGTGTTCGGTGTTAAAAACTAAGTTTAGCAGAAGACGAGGCACCTAAAAAAAAATAAACAATATTCAGTAATGCGTTAATTCGTCTAACCGCATATCTTACAAACATAATCCCACGCATAGCAACATTATATTTTACATATTATTATGTTTTGATCGACAATTTTATCGAACAATCTATATAATATTTCAAATAGTGTCAAAATATTCTTGCACTCAGTTTTTAGTAGGAAACAATACATATTAAGAACACTAATGTTTCAATTATTGATTCATATCAAATGTATGCATTTTTTTCAAAGTATCAAACAACAACTGTTATACTTGTAATATGTTCCACCAAAAACCAATTGAAATTAATGTATAGTGGGCGCAGTCGATGTAATGGTATATGTAAATTATTTATACTTTACAGGCTTTAGACTTTGTACATTTCGCTTTTTGAGTATTAATGAACTTATTGCACAAACCGGACAACCTTTTCTTTTGAAAAATGGCTCTGCAAAAACCGCTAACTAATATGGTACATGCGCATCTCGTGAAAAATAACGTTTATGTTATTTATATACATATAATATAATATGTATATCTTATACTTTATCATTAAATGTAATTATTCAAAAACTTTTGCTTTATTTTTCCGCTCGACGGCGAACCGTTGGCTTTTTTCTAAATTTTATTTCCAATATAATGAATGGTTTATATATTTAAATAGCGTTTTTCTTATCGTTTAATGGTCCACATTAAAAGTATTCAAGCAAAAAAGATAATCTCATCATTAGACTTTAAAAAGTGCACTGTTCTTTTCTTTATAATTGTTTATGTTTTTAATTTATAACTGTCTTCGCTATTGTTTCCATGAAATTAAAACATTTTTTTAGGTCACGATCACGATAAATGTTATCAATTACTATATACAGTTTTATATAATACATTTAAATATTTTTCAAAGCAAATTTTGTCTAATAAATTACACGGATATATTTGTATAAACTCCTAAAGTTAATATTACCTTAAAATACATATATTTTATTTTATTGTTTTTCCTACAAAATATGGTCATTAACATATAATACTTAATAAAATATAAGAGGTCATAACCGTGAAGAGAGGGGGAAATATAATATTACTTTTTTCAAATATTTTCCTCCATCTAAAATATGTTGATAGCAAGGCGCATAGGATACGCAAAATAGATACATGCGAGTGTTAGTGTTAAGCTTCGATACAAAGTTGAAAACTAAGATGTTGTTAGTTTTACTTTGATGTGTGTTTTTTTTTAATTTAAAGACATACAAGTTGTTTTCATGTGGTCGGTTCTTTGGTGTGTTATAAGACGTGGAAAAAGTCTATTCATTTCAACCAAAATATTTGGAAAAATATCCGTAAAAGAAGTTGAACATCTTCTAAGTACTCATCCAATTCGGCCAACATATAACTTTGCCAAAAATTGTCATATGGAATTGACATTATAATTAGATATACCTTTATCTAACAATTTTATCTGAAAATTTTTAATAACTAACTCTTCTCTTCTACTCAGACTTTGGTATACTATTTTGGTTGTACAGGCTTAAATTTGCTATCATAGAACGTACATTTCAATATGATATATACGTATTAAAGATTTAAAAATGTTTTTTACACTTATTACTACTGATAACTGTTTAGTTGAAAATAAAATGCAGCTGTATAAGTTTTTACGTTGAAGTTATTTAATACACATATAATGATATACTCTAAACATTTTTATCTCGGTGCACTTTTTGGACAACCCAGTATTGTTATGATACAAAATAATATAATACAATATTAATACTTAATACTGTGCGATTTTTCATTTTTAATGATGTCTCTTTCAAGGACAAACAAAGACTTTCTTGTTGTTTGCGACCAATATAGTAATAATAAAGAATTTATACTAAAGAAAAACAAACTGTCAAGCAACCGCAGACTATACACACAGTTCTCGGAGACTCCGATGTAACAAAATATTTAATCTGTTTTATGGAGACTAATCCTCGGTTAAATTACATGACTCCAAACCGTTCTCTACCGGAGTACCAGAAGACAATATACCTATATAAATACACATAATTTGTGTGTATTTTATTTCAAATATTTGAATTAGTAAAAGTTATCGAGCCTACTGCGCATAAGTGGTAAGTGGCGCTGACATACAATTAGGAACAGTGATTGATTCTTAAAACTAAAGAAACGTTTTATAAAGTTAAGCCAACTATTATTATTAACGGCATGCTCACAAGTTATTAAAAAAAAATATTTCAAGGAGTTTATTTCAGTTAAAAAATCTTTAGCAACTTTTAACAATTTCGTATAAGATTTGAAAATTTCATTTTATTTATTTATTTTGTTCTCGAGGACAATACCGTTATTATTTGATTTAATCGGGTAATCTTCTATGATTTATCACCTATTTTTCATTGTCAAAAACGTTAGGAAATCTGCATTTATGTTATACCATTAACTCAATAATAATTATCAACAACTACTCCAAGTCTAAAACATAGTTATTTAGCCGATATTTTAATAATTGATATTTTCGAAGCGTAACTGATAGTGATGTGATTTTGTTTTTGTTATTCTATTTTTGTTTCATGACAATATTTTTTTAACCATTGGGTCGATTTCTTCACCACAGTGCAAGTCTCTTGATCAGAAATCGTTCAGAAGAGGTACTTATAACGCCAAAAATTGAAAAAAATTCAGCTCGTTCCCTTTTTTTTAATCTTCTCAGTTTCGCATCGAAGGTAAAAAAAAAAATTTCAATTATTATAAACACAGTTGTTATACTTTGTTACTTATTGCGATTTACGTTGATATTTAATAATTGTATCATACATAAAGATTGATCAATTTAACATGCATAAAACGCGTTATTTCTAGGAAACCAATAACAGTTATGTAGTTTTTCTATTATTGTTTACCACGATAAAATATTATAATTTTTCAAAACGTCAACACAATCAACATGTTTGGTATGTTATTCGCAGTTTAAACATTTCATAAGTGTGTAGGGTTCTAATACAAAAATTGTTTAAGAAACGAAAAACAACTATTATAATCGAAGTAAATTCCCTGAAGTGATTTCTTGAACTCTTAATGACCCGTGACCTCCCTTACCTCATTATACTCCATGTACTCCTATGATTTCTACCTCACTGTGCTGGCTTCTTTATGCTATTCTTATTCGTTTGGAAACTAATGCAGTACAAAAATATGGTTGTCATTATTTTTTTTTAAGGGACGACGGCGGCCCTATTAAAGGCAATATTACGATTGGAAGACCGGCCGATTCTAGGCAACTGGGCGGGGGCGGCGTACCGTAGAGTGCTGACCGTGGACGCCATGCCGCTGTACATTTGTACGCTACGGAGGGCAAAATCGGCAGCGGACAGCGGGGACGGTACGAGGGAGCACAGCGGCAGGGTCGCCGTACGTTGTACCCGGGCTTTCCGCGCGCACACAGTCGTCGCGCGCCACGACGTACAGACGTGTCCCTCACCGCCTCACGACAACACGCGGCACGCTCGCCGTCCACTGCAACAGGTTACGCGAGCTGCAATTGTTCAGGTCGCGACACCCACCCGCCCCCTCCCACCCCTATCCGCGAACGTCCGGCCGGCGCGATGGTCTGATCGCGGGTCCGTCCACCGCAATGGCCGCCGCTGGCAACGACACCACGTCCATCACCAGGATGGTCATCGAGCCCGGGCTCATGGACATGATGGGCAACTCGCTGTTCGACATGCTGGCTCCGGCCGTCACCGATTCGTCCACGTACGCGCCGTCGTCCGGCGACGACACGTACGGCGGCGACACGGACTCGGCACCGGTCGGTTACGACGACGGCGGCACCGGCCCCGGCGAACTCTGGTACAGGCACAGCCCCGCCATGACGGCCGTCTACTGTTTTGCGTACACCATGGTGTTCTTGGTCGGCCTCGTGGGCAACCTGCTGGTTGTTTCGGTCGTGTTCCGGTCGCCTCGGATGCGCAACGTGACCAACTACTTCATCGTCAACCTGGCCGTGGCCGACATTCTCGTGCTGGTGTTCTGCTTGCCGGCCACTCTGTTGTCAAACATTTATGTCCGTAAGTGTCAACAATGCACACAAACGATAAAGTAGATCCCAAAGGTTAATACACTAATCCACATAAGTAATCTGTCTACCGGCAAGTGACGAGTGAGTCAAATAGATTGATGTGCTTTTAAACGAGGCTTGCCGCATTAAATACGTGTTGGATTTACATGTATACACCCTTAACCAACGCATAATATAACAGTCATAGACATATCTTAAGGATTCGCGTGGGCCGGAAACGAACAAGGATCGCTCGGATGCGACGACTAAATGATCCGAAAGGCCCAAACAAAGTTTTCCCAAAGTTTGATTTGGTCACGTTTCCGGTTGCACTAGATCGTATCGTCGAATACGTCGAATGACCTTAATGCGTTCAACGCAGTATCCCGATTTCAGCACACAAAACACACGATAAGCGTTACAAGTGTACCTACCCGTAAAAAAACATAGTTATACTTGGACCGATAAAAGTAGTTACACCAACTCGGACGACTCGTTAAACAATGTCGAGACTATATTTGTGTTTTCGATGAAACCCGCATGAATTATATTCCTTTCGTGCCGGATGAAAAACTCAAATTATAACAACTTAGCTTACATAGGACCTAACTTATAGATTAACTTGCTTCCGTGCCGGATTCCCAAGCGTCGCGAACATACCGATTTTATTTTTTATCGCCTAATGCGAATCAGATAAAATACTATCACGAGCGCGTTTTACCAGAAAATTCGAAATACCTTCACGTTGTCTCGTATCAGATCCTATTCAGCTTAGTTGAGAGACATCCCCCTTGGCCACCGCCGACCCGTCGAAACCTCATACTTGCCGTGTAAAACATGAAGTATTGTATTGTTATAAATACTCGTAAATAGCGTACGACCTAATAATATGCGTAAAACAATACCCAAATAAACATAACGTGCGTGCTTGGGTCTTTGCAGTAGCTTTTGACCTTTTGAACGTTTCCTTTTTTTGTTCATAAGGACATTACGGGCGTTCGTTTTTCTTTTTTATTCGAAAAAAAACTCTGTCTTATGTTATTATCATTGTGCGTACGGCGAGCATCTGTGATTTCCATTTTTACTACTCTGCCAAACGCCATTACGGGTGCGTTGCCCCTGAATCTGTATGTCGTTCAATCTCGGTTGAAAACTAAGTATATAGGCGCACCATACTTTAATACAGTAGTAAAATCATCATCAACCAAAAAAGCTTATTTTAAAATAACACCAAAACAAAATGTGTCTCTCAAGACGTCTTAACCGTCCGTTCGACTGCGTTGGAATTGAATGTAGTTATATGTACAGTTACGGATGCTAAACTAACATAAACCTAGCGCCGCGGATCAAAAAATCCTTGATTTTAATATTTCCAATTTTTCAACATAGCTCAGTCCGGTTAGCTTTAGATGCACAAAAAAAAATTTAGTTAGTAAATAATGTCTTCATTTTCTTGGATAATTTACATAACTTAGTATAATATTTAATATTCTATTCTCAAATAAGATTTTTTTTAAAAACAAAAAAGTTCATATACTATTCCCCGAATCCCGCGGAAATTTCAACTAGTGTATAAATTCAGGTCTTACCGTTTTTTAAACCAATACACTTGGACAGCAGCTGTTGTACCTATATAGGAAAAACTTACTTTGTCGGTGTCGGTTTTTTTGACGTTTTTCTTTTCAAACGTAAAACACATTCAATATTTAAACGTAACAAAAAAAAAGTGATAAAAATACCTAAAAGTTTCACACTTTTGACTAGTTAGTGTTCAAATGACGGCATTCCTCTCGCATTATTAATTTATCGTCCCGGGGACATTATCAAAACAGTTTTTTTTTCCACCAAACTTGTCCAAAACTTCTATCAGAATCGACTTTTTGTTCGCGCCATTATCATAATTATATTATTGCCCAATCTGTATTATTATATAATATAGATTATACCCCATCCGGTCCTACATTGTGTGTGTATAACTTTTTCAATGGCACGTTCAAAAATAAAATTTCCTCCATAAATAAACCCTGACCTGCTCGAATGATGTGCTCGCGCATCAATATTATTTCACCATAATAGCGGGTTGTCAAAACCGATTATGTCGAGAATAAAAATAAATAAATAAACAAGAAAAGTAATTGTAACCCACGTTAAAGGCTTTGCATGTCGTCGGAACGTAAACCGGCGAGTTTTCCAGACGGGGGCTGAGTACGATTTTAGAACGGATATCCATTTCCTCGGTGGGCAAACTATGCACACTACCTATATAATGATACCTATATATTATACCTATATACACAATATGTATCGATCACTGTAATGACCGAGTCGTGTTCGTTTGCCGGCAAAAACCCATTATTATTATTATTATTATCGTTATTAATATTCAACCGTATAATAACACTCCTGTACCTACAATAATGATGATAATGATATTTGAATTTTTCCAACCAGCCGTGGCGGCGCCTAACACAATGTACTTCTTTTGCAAATAATAATAACAATAATTACGCGTAAATAAACGTCGACAAGGGGGTAAAGGCAGAAGCGGAAGGCTAAATTTTTATATATTTGCATGTGTTGAATAGCGAACGCTGTATAGTGTACAGTGCCTGGGAACGTCGAGGTTTAATTTTTTTAATTTTATTTAAAAAAAAAAAAACCTCTTTTTACTGAACATAACGTCTCGAGCTCAGGTCGCACCGGAGTACTCCTCCTAACATAATGTCCGACAAGATTGCGGGGTGGTAAATACTTGCTCTGAGGTAGTAAATTGTGCAAAATTAATTTGACCTATTGTCGAGAACGGTGGCGGCGGCCAAGAGCAGGCGGTAACATCGACCCGGACCGAGTTTTCCTGCGCACCTTGTATATTAAAGCGGCAACACTAGTAACTATACAGTATAATACAATATACGTATATAATACATATATAAATGATTCGTGCGAAAGTTTTGATGAACTTTCCAGCCGGACCCGACAATGATATAGACACGGAAGTGAGCTGAAGAAGAGTCGGATGGAAAAAAGTAGACAGAAAAATTCGCGTTCCTGAATTGGTATTCGTCGAGTCTTCGGTGTTTGCTTTCTCAATTTGCCGGCACAAAGAAATAAACAGCGCGCACAAATAAACGACCTTCTCTCGTTTTTAATTTAGTAGTCCACCGGCGAGCATAGCTATTGGTTTTATAATGATGTGTTCTTGTGTTGTCTGTAAATTTCACCTTGTCACCGCGCGTTCCAATTTCCTTTGCTCGGCCAAAGGTACACACAATGACAAAATATATTCATTACAACGCCGCACGATACTCAAAGGAATAGGGTATTGATCGATGGCACCGGACCGTCAAAATTAGTTTCGATCAGATCCGGTTCGTGTCCGTCAATACGGATTTATGCACAAATATCATCTGTTAGTTGTACAGCCGAATAAACCAATACAGACACTATGGGGAAACTTGGACACCTGAGCACCTGTTTCCGTGTGAACTACGGCAGTCGTGCGACAGACCATTGGGAGCCATTGTTGTTGTTTAAAAAATTCAGTTAGCGCGTAGACCTCATACAGCTATAATAGTGAGAGAGGGAGAGCTTGTATAATTCGAGATGCACCAAAAATATGTTTTTCACGGTCGTCGGATAAAACTTTGGCCTTGTTCGCACATAACAATAGTAATAATACCTAATACGGTACGTGTGCTGTGCGATATTATTGTATGTAAAATCATTGCGTGTTTTTTTGTTAATAACGACCCGATTTTTATTAACGGGAAACAAATTATAGTATAATACCAGGAAAAAAAAATGTTAAATCTATACACACTTTTAATAATACATAACACGCCCACACCTCGATTTTTGTTGTTTTTTTTTTTTGTCAGCGTTTTTTGCGTGTTACGTGACCCATATTGACTGACCAGTGTAATGTCGCAGTATTGGTTTTAAACGGTACAGTCCAAGGACGGACATGGAACTTAGCTCAGTGCGGGTCGATTTGAATGGGAAAAATACTTACAGAAATCCAATAGATGCAGTCTCTTTAAAACGAAAATGCAAAATAACCGGAACGGCAAGATAGGAGAGAATGTCAGGAATAATAATGGATGGAACATAATCTGGGCTTGGATCTATGGAATGCCCAGAGGGAAGGCAATGCGCAAAGATCATAACGAGACGCTTGTTTTACTGTTAATGTGATAGAACCGCAATTCTGGAGTAGAAATCAATGTTATTTCATTGTGCCATAATAATGGACACTACCGCCTAAACCCAAATAATACCCTTCATGTAAGGACCTTCTCGGTCAGAAAAAGTCAATTAACGGGTTCACAATGTTATGGTAGTCAACAGGAGCTGTTCGTGCAATGCAATTAGAATCAGCCGGTTAGCCAGTATTATTAGGTATTTACATATTGCCCCTCCCCCCCCCGTCGTTACAAAACAAAGTGTTTCGAAACAGCGTTAGTCTAGAAAACTTAAACAAAAAATAAAATATATCTTAGGGAAGAAGCCAGCCTCTCCGTCCCTCGTCGATTGTCCACCGCTGAAACACTCCCTGGGCGTACAGTTGCGGGATGATGCGACATCCAACTTAGGCGGTGTAGGTCGTTGGCAGACTTGTATTCACGTGGCGTTTACTTACTGGAAAATCGTCTGCCGGCTATCGAATGCGTAACACGTACACGCCGTCGGCCGAACGCGCTTGAAGTTTTTTTCCTTTATTTTTAAGCTCCACACCGAATCCGCTGTACCTATGTGTATTTTGCCCCGTTTATCGCTCCACTGGCCTCCACCGCCTTGGGTACGGACGGGTCGGTCGAATACCCCGGCGTGCCCGGCGCGGCTAATACTACACATTTTTGTTTTTGTGAACAAACCACCACCACCACTCGGCGAGGTCTAAATCCCTGGAGTAAAAAAATAAAACAGATAAAAAAAAATAAATAACCGCCGGCTGACGCTCGAATCCGTCGGTCGTGCCCGACTCTACGGGTTTGTATCACACGAATCTGA